GACGACGACGACGACGACGACGGCGAAGAAGAAGAAGAAGAAGAAGAAGAAAAAGAAGATAAAAAGAAGAAGAAAAGAACGAAGAGAAAGAAGATGAAGAAGATAATTGGAAGAAGAAGGGGAAGAAGAAAAGAGTAATAATTAAAATTAAAAATAAAAATAAAATTGTCGTCGATTACTTATCTGCGCAGAGGTAGCAACGACGATGTCGAGGATGGCATGGCGCGGCGACGAGGACGACGGGCACGGCGATGGTGACATGGCACGACGACGACGATCGCGGCGGTGACGATGATGACGTGGCACGACGATGACGATGATGACGTGGCATGGCGGCGAAGATCACGACGATGACGTTGATGATGGCCAGGTGGTGATGGCGAAGCAGGGTGGGTCGGGCGGGTTCGAACCGCTCCGATATCAGTGTGACGGGACTGAGGCAACGAGGCTGGGAGAGAGAGGGAGAGAGTGAGAGTACACACACACACTCACTCAACTCGACGCAGACTCGACACGACTCGAGGGACGCAGACACGAAGTGGCAAAGTCGCGTCAAAGTCTTGGATTTCCGAACACAATGTCAAAGCAAGTCACACTGAGTACGAGTACAGCAGAGAACAGGTACCAGACTGCCCCGTACCGTACGGGGAGCCGATATAAGTACCGGTGACATGTACGGTACCAGGGGCAATTCTGCAAAGGCCCCGGGGGCAGAACTGAAAAATGCGGTATTTGAAAGTGGCGCCCGAATTGCAGCATGGCGCCAGTTGTCCAAAATCCTACGGTACCAAAGGAGGGGTTTGGAAAAAGGGTGCCAGGCCGAAAACGGGATGCAGCCGAAACAGCAAATAGATAGACCAGGGATCAAGCCCTGGCGGAGTCTGTAACAAGGGAAGGTCCCAGCAAACAAAACAAAACAACAAAAAAAACTATGCCAGAATTTTATTTTTTATTTTTTTTGGCCCAGCCGGACAAGTGGCCCCGGGCCACTTTGGTAGCCTAGATAATATGGCAGTACATGGTTTAGACTTGGTTCAGCTACAGTGCCATAGAGTCATTTTATATGCCCCTCCTCTGCCATCAAGGTTGCGAAGCCAGCTATACGCTTGGAGGACTGATATGCAGAGGTGAACAGAGGGGAGATCAATCGGGCACAGGGAACGGGTAGTAGATTGAATCCAAAGACAAATCAGGGCATGTACTTACGTGAGTGTCACTGCAAGTGGCAATCCTTCTGGCACAGAGACAACAACAATCGTGACCTGCAAAATGAGACCACGCACTGAGACATTCAGTTATACAATGAGACATCTTCTTCTTTTTCTGTTTTTTAAAACACATGTGCCCCTTCTATTCTTGGGGGCGTCAGTCCGGTTGCTTATCACCAGCAAACACGTTTATACAGAAAGATAGAAAATTGATCCAGAGGAAAAGTGTCAGCCACCCTTCTAACTCTAGCCGCTCACCCAAGGGGAGGGGCTGCCCAAAGGCCACTCTCCCCCCGTACCATTGCTCATTTGCCAGGGTTCACTTGCTGGCATCTTCTATATCCATCCCTTCCATTTCCATCATGCTGCACAGCAAGGCCCTACATTTTGTGAACACTAGGGTAACATGACTCGTGTATATTCTATCCTGATAAGAACGACCCTTGTGGGTTTTCTTTTCCTCACAAACTTTGTGGAATGATTGTGAAACCAGAAACATCTAAGACAATTTGTTATTTTCTTTTGTTTTGTTTGAAATTATGAATTTCGTATTTAAAGGTTGGAAACCGGGTCCAGCGTCCCTTACAACAATGGGGCAAGCCTACTATCTCAGCTGGTGAACCCTCAGCATGCCGCAGGAGGCCATGGGAGTCCCACGTCTTCCATCCGGACTTATTGTTCCCACCTGTTATATGACTATTTTTTTAAATGTTTGGTGCAGCACTTCCTTTTCTGATGTTGGTGTTCTTATGAATATCTTTTGAAATGGTTGGTGCAGCACTTCCTTTTGAAATGGTTGGTGCAGCACCTCCAGAGGTTGATGAGAGTTATCCAATGTTCTCTTTTTTTGCTTGTGGAAGGAGGTCAGAGAGTAAATCAGTGTTGTGTTCTTAGCAAGGCACATGTGTTTGTGTGCGGCCGCATGTAGGCAGGTGTACGCTGTCAAAGACAACCTACATGTAGGCATGCAGCTCAATTTCACAAAATACTAAAATAGTAGTTGGGTAGGGAAGTTCAACATGCCTGTAACACGGTTCTGAATTATAATTGAAAATTGTCAGTTGGATCATCACATGCAGCACAAAAGATATACAGAAATAAAGAGGCCGATGAACACACCCAGAACAAAAACAGATTTTAAATTTTAACATCATTTTATCAGATATTCCATTTTTTGTCAAAGATTCAAAACTTCTGAACAGTTTTTTCTTCCCTTTATTTTTAAATCTGAGATGGAACGGTTCCGCTTAAAAGTCTGCAAACATTGGGGGGGTTCCAGGGGGGAGGTGCGGTCGAGTGGATCAGCCCTCTCCTGCATGCACAGTTCTAGGGCTCTTCTGACTCCTGTGTGACGCAAACCGGCGGGTCCCTGAACCACGGATGAGGGAGAGAGAGGTAAGCTCCAGTCATCTCCGAATGGACTCCTGGGTGACGCGGACGGGAGGGCCCTCGAACCGCGCATGCTGGCAAGGGCTGATGGGCTCTATACAGCGCGAGGATCCAGGTTGGATTTCCTCTTTCCGCAAATTGAAACGATAAAATCCAGCTCAGTTGTTTTTGGGAAAACGACGGCTGGAGGATAGGGAGGGGTATCCCATCACCTCCTTGACCCCTCTAAACTCCAGAGGTGGCCCATCTACTGGCCATTCGACCCTCCTTCAGTTTTGGCGCACAGCCATTAGGTCTTGCCCATGGCTCTCGTATGTCCCATCATAAGGGGGGTGCCACATAGAGTAGGCAAAAATTACACTGGAGTAAATGTTATTGCAAACGTACCGTGATCGAGAAATAGTGAATGATTTTGTTTGCAGTCTCCTTGCGATCGTCTAGTTGACCTTTTATGCTGTACCTGCACACTAACAAAAGGATAGCAACTCAGAGAAAAGAAAAATCTTACCCTTTCCAGACATTGGCACACCTGTTCATGGGGACAATCTTGCTGAAGTTGCTCTACATTTACTTGGTCTCAAACTCTCAGAGAGGATCTTGAGTTCTTTGTGTGCATCCGGGCAGCATCCCATAATATTCCCCTACCTTTTTTTCCCCCAAAAAAGGCAGGCCCTTATGGTCCCGGCTCCTTATCCATTCTGTGGAGCATCAGTGCAGTTCCTTTTCCTCCAGCAAGTCGTGCATTACAACATCAACACCCACAAGCTTTCCTTCCGTTTGTCCGAAGGACCCCTGACCAGCATTGATTACTCCCCGTATCAGGAGGATTGACTGTCAGCTTGCCTTCTCATGAAACCCTCTCAGATTCCACATTAAATCTGCCATATATAACTCTCATAAGAAGAATCCTGAGTCCGCACTTTACACGCTGTCTGTAGCTGCTCTGGACAGCCTTGGCCCCTGCTCTTCTTCCCCTCTTGATGATGCCTTCATTTATCACCATCCCTGTCGTGTAGGACTCAGAGACCGCTCATGTGGGATCTCTTGTCTCCCCTGTGTTGCATCGGAGTTATGCCAATCTTTCCAACACAGGTTGTTTGCATGGATGCCTTCCACCTTGTAGCACATTTTGGCTGAGTAATCTGAGATAGGTATAACGTTACTGCTTCTTCTGTTCTTTCCTATCCTCCACCCCCATTCTACTGGACCAAACTCCACATCCTGGATTGACGAGCTGATCTGAAAAAAGGGCTTGGGCCATTGCTCCATGACTCTTATCTTGCGTAGAGTGTAGACATTCAGGGTGACTTCTTCTGGGTCTTTACTACGAGCGGGAACAAGAGTTGATACGGCAGATGCGAGAAAACGCGGAGAATGGGCCGTGCCGTATCACCCCTAAAACAGAGAAGGCGCTGATTATAGGGGAGCCTGGATTCCGGTGCAGGAAGAGAGGCTTATGGTGGAAACCATAAGAGGAAGGCACGCTGCGTATGCCTTCAGTGATGATGAGAGAGGTCGTCTGGACGTGGATATAATCTCGATGATCAGGATACACACCGTGCCTCACGAGCCATGGAACTTGCGAGGTGCACGGTATCCTAATCCAACTGATGAAGAAAAGGTAGTCAAATACCTTGATGGAAAAATCCGCACACATGTGGCAGATTACTTGAGTGGACCGTATGCATCCCCTTGGTTTTGCTTTGTCAAACCCAATGGGACCTTGAGGTGGGTACAGGATTTGCAGCGCTTGAACGCTGTAACAGTGAGGGACGCAGGTGGTCTCCCCAACCCTGATGCGCTTTCAGAGGCCTGCGCTGGGAGGGCGATAATATCTCTCATAGATTTATATTCAGGTAACGACCAATTTCCTGTATACCCATCTGACAGACCCATGACGGCTATGCATACTCCTCGAGGGTTGATCCATATGAACATCGCATCGCAAGGGTGGACGAATGCGGTTGCCATGGTCCAGAGGCACATGGTGAGGGCAATGCAGCCCATAAGTCCTCACATTACGCAGCCTTATATTGACGATCTGGCCGTGAAAGGGCCTAAGGAGAAGGATGAGCAGGAGGTGAGACCGAGAATCGGGCGCTTTGTCTGGGACCATGTGCAAGACTTGTGCAGGGTCCTGGACCTACTAAAGGAGCATAACCTCACTGCCAGTGGGCCGAAATCGAGGCACTGCATGAGCGGGGCCACTATCTTAGGGTTTGTGTGCGACGAGAGGGGTCGTCGACCAGATACTAAGAAGACCAACAAGATCCTCGAATGGCCAACACCGTTCGAGACTATCACAGAGGTAAGCAGCTTCCTGGGCACATGCGGATTCTGGAGGATCTTCATAAAGGGGTTTGCGGCGAAGACTGAGCAATCGCGAAAGCTTGTGCGTCAGGGCAAAGATTGGGAGTGGGGAGATAGGTAAGAGTCGGTAATAGAAGGTCTGAAGAAAGAATTTGAGGAAGGAGGTCTAGTACTGGGGGTACCGGATCATGCAGCGGTGATGACCAAACCTTTCATTGTTGAAACAAACGCAAGACCAACTGCTTTAGGAGGTGTGTTGATTCAACAAGATCCCAATGGAGAGGAACGACCGCTAAGGTTTGAGAGTTGGATGCTTAATACAGCTGACAGGAACTACTCTCAGTTTAAGCGTGAAACCTTGACAGTTCTTCACTGTTTAAGGATTTTCAGAGATTACCTCTTCGGCAACAGGTTTGTACCGAGGGTGGACCCGACTGCTCTAGTTGGGTCTCTCAAGAACTTCGCTCCTTCGGATCCGACTATCGCCAGGTGGCTAACATACATCTGGATGTTCGACTTCGAGTTGGAGCGGATTCCGGGGAACAACAATAGAGCGGATGGGCTGAGTCAAGTCGACTGGGACAAGAATAGCCAAGGAGTGATCGAGGATACTCCACCAGTCGACGGGTTCCTGGACAGTGAGGAGGATGTGAGACTTCACATCAACTCCTGGTCATTGGCCGTGGGTAACTATGTTACTCCGAGGCGACCTGTGTGGCTTGCGCCACCAAGACATGTACAACGACCAGACCTAGTCCTTAAGCCCTATATTGAAGAAGACTCTTGGGGAATGCCAGGTGTGGATTGGATGATGGATCTGGCCTTAGCAGGCAAGTACCAATTACACGAGGACCTGCTAACAATTGAGGATGGGGCGCTGCAGGTAGGCAAGCACGAGAAAGTGATAGGTGGGGTGTATCTACTGGCAAATGCGTTGCTTCAGGAAGAGGTGGTCAGGAATACGGTGCAAGGTCAGGAAGAGGGTGATAATGTGATCCACGAGAGAGAAGACGACGATTTTGAGGAAGGTGAGATTAAGGAAGCGTTTCGAGCAGAGGAATATGAGGGAGTATACCTTGAACTCGGAATGCTTCTTTCATGTGAAATGAGGGAACGGGACGCTTGCGCAAGAGTTCTGAAGATGAGGCCGAGCTTTCTAGCGAGGGATGGCCACCTGTTCATGAGAAGCAAAGGGAAGGCTCCCAGAAGAGTAGTCTGCGGCGTCGCTCGCTAGATCGACGTTATGGCAACACTGCACGATGGTACGGCGGGTGGTCACAAAAGCACGGATACGACATACCTCAAGATACATGAACTGTACTATTGGGATGGCATGAGACAGATGATCGATGATTACTGTAAATCCTGTGTACCATGCCAGGAGCGATCCTCTCTTAGACCTAGGGAGCTGCTTTACCCAAGGTATGTTCGTGAAGTTGGAGCGGTCGTACACCTGGATGTGTTGGCAATGCCGCTGGGAATATAGGGAGTTACAACTTTATCTTTGATGCGCGGGACAACCTCTCTGGATTTGTAGATGGCAGGGCCATTCGCACGAAGACTGGGGAGACGCTGGCCCGATGCATTGAAGAATATTATCTCCGTTACCCCTTTGTCTCCAGGTTTGTGATGGATAGAGGATCCGAGTTTACCTGTGCGGAAGTAAAGACTCTTTTGAAGAAGTATGGGGTAATCGCCGAGTACACTACTGCGGCGCACCCTCAAGCTAATGCACCTGTGGAGAGAGGGCATAACACCATCACAAATCTTCTTGCCAAATGGACCGATGGTAGACCCAATCAGTGGCCGAATTTTCTAAGGGTCGCTTTCTTCGTGGATAATATTACTGTCAGGAGAAACACCGGCTATGCACCGACCACATTATGGTATGGCAGGCACGCAACGTTTCTTATCGAGAGCTTCCTGAAAACTTGGAGACGGGAAGACCTCGAGACTAATCTGACGTTTGAAGAACTGCTTGACTCAAGGGCACATCAGATTGGCGCTATAGAAGACAGGATTGAGGAGGCGGCCAGTAGGACGGCTTACAGCCGTACCAAGGACAAGTTCAAGTGGGATAACATGGCAAGGGTAAGGAGAGAACCCCTCAAGGTGGGACACATTGTGCTGCTGTATGACTCATCCCTGGAGAAGCAGTGGTCACAGAAGTTAGACAAGAGGTGGTTGGGACCGTACAGGGTCACCAGGTGTGGTGAGCATGGAGCCTACTAGATTGAGGAGTTGAATGGGACGGCATGGGAGGACTGGGTGTCAGGCTCGAGGCTGAGGAAGTTTGTGGCTCAAGACGAGGTGAGCATGGACCGCACCAGTTAGAGTCGCTTTCTGAGCACGTTATATAGAAACATTAATGTAAGTAGAATGTATAGGCTATTGTCCTCAGTAAAATAGCGTGACAGGTTGTGACTTCCTGGCTAGACTCGTGTATGTATGCATACGTAGATAGGCAGATAGTTGGGATAGCTGTGGGAGGGCTATATCTGTCTCCTGTTGTGTCTATCCAACCTGCTTACCCTCTGTGTGCTCTTGTTTGTCTCCTTCTTGTTGTGCAGGTTTAACACCGCTTGGGGCAGCCATGCCAAGAGGGAGGGTAGGGGCAGAGCTAGTGGAAACCCCTCAGGAGGCGACCAGATAGAGGGCCTTGAAGGGGGGTCAGGAATCGGCTATGCCTCAGGATATGCCTCTGGTTGCAGGCCTACGAGACGCATTGGGATCTTGGGCCACTGGTTCGGGGCCAGAGGGACGTGTCGGCGAGCAGGTGGTGCCAACAGACGAGAGAACAGTCTGCCCTACTTCCCCAGAGGTCCCACTACAGGAGGTCACGAGCAAGATCTCAACAGTCCCGTCATCAATACCTTCGCAGGAAGGAGACAAGATGTCGCAGAAGAAGATTGGCAAATGCTTCTACTATAAGAAGGGCAAGCATCAATCTAACGACTGCCCCTAGAGCCTCAAGGACGACACAAATGGTTTGACCACCAGAGAGTCATCTGGAGTATGGAGAGATAGGAATGGAATCCTGGTACCTAAGACTTGTGATGGGGTGAGGGCGCAGTTGTATAGGCAGCTGCAGGAGAGCATGAGTGATCAGGAGTAGGATTTTCTAATAAGGTCCGGAAAGGTCTGAGTTTAGTATGCGTGAGGCATCTCTGACCCTCTGACTGATGGTTACTTGTATATAGGAGGATACATGGAGGATTGGATCAGACCCATGTGCATCAGCAAGTTGAACCAGTAATAAGATGTATGCTTTCGCGTTATAGACTTTTTGTACATAAGACAACACTATGTGTAATTCTGACTATTTTTCTCTTTTTCGCTAGGTGTGGTGTGGAATGTTAAAGACCTTTGTGTAAAGTTATGGTTTTCTTACCATCTAGAGTAGAGTGACGCTCATGAGTAAGGAGTGACTATCGATTTCTGATACCTTGGTACCCGGATACCTTGATTCTTTGTTGGATACTATGATCCCTTGTTGGATACCTGAACTCTTTGTACGATACTGATTTTTTTTTTGATAAGGACGGATCCTTTGCTCATTGCAGGGCCCCATATCCTGTGTGCATATGTGAGTCATAAACCTTGTCTTTTTGTTGTGTATGGTGTGTCACACTCACTCTCAGTTTGTGGACTTGCCCATGTGGATGATGGTGTGATGAGAGATGAATGTTATGAAATGAATTGATCTGCGGTTTCTTCCGCTATACTTGCGCATCCGGGTCCTAGTGACAAGTGGAGCCCAAAGTATACTGGGAGAGGGTGCCCTTCATATTTTTGAGAAAGAGCTGGCATAATGTGTTTTGCACGGATGGAGTGAGGATGTATGGAAAGGTCACAGCCAAGGTTGTGTCTTCTGTGTGGCTCGGAAAAGAGAGAGGAAAGCCCAATGGCCAATTGGACCTTCTTAAAAGGATGAAATTTGTGAAGAGCACTCAAAAGAGGTGCTATAGTGATGATAAAATTTTGTGTGTATGTAAAGTCTGACAAGGAAAGGCCAAGAGGTTTGTGAGAATAATGGATGGAAATTTCTGGCAATTATGATGGAACTTTGGGAAAATATTTTGAGAGATGTCCCTAAAGGACGTATGACCTTGCCTACTCTTGATCGTAGTGAGGGAGGCACGACCCTGTGGAATTATTGAGGATTTGGTTGAAATGGTTGAGAAAGGCACTATCCCTCCACGTAGTCCCGTGGGCAGTTGGTATGTGATCCTTTGATTGTTCTCAAAGCTTTGGAAGAAAGTGTCAGACCACAATGAGGTCAGTCAAAGGGACATATTTTGTGAGGCCAAGCTAAGGGGCTATACCTAGCATCGATGGAACTGTAGAACCTAACTCCCAGCGAGGGCCGCTGACCGCCACAACCTGGCAGCGGGATTATGGCTTGCCAAAGGTTAAGTCTTGAAGGGTCGGCCACCCGGAGAGGTTTAGCTAGAGGGAAGGTCATTGGGGTCGATTAAGTCAAGAGTCGGGACCCTTCGGGGTACCAAGATAGGAAGAGTTGCTTATCGTTGCGTAACCAACAAGGGCACCATCGTTACATAACAACGCGGTGGGTCGTGGATTCGGCGTGATCGACCGTTCCATGGTGGGCCAAGATGGAGACCTGAAGCCACCTGTGTTAGACTCCAGGATGGCCGTTCATTATGATTGGATATCTAAGATGGTAGTATTACCATTTGGGGACTAAAGATGCCCCATATTTTGAGAGGTCTCGGTTAGGGCCCGCGTCCTAAACCCCGTACGCGGGACGATGACTAAACAGGACACCCAACAGTGAACCGGCAGATGTCTACGACGAAGGGTGAGGACTATCAACCTACTACCTTGGAGCGGGTAGTACGCTGTAGTATGGAACAAAGTATCCCCTAACTCCGAGGCCAGGACGTGGGAGACCCAGGTTGAAACCCTGGCAGAGGAACGCCGTGACGGGAGCAAGTTGATAAGAACACCTCGAACGGAATCGAGCCGGTGAGTCGGAATGGTTACTTCCTCGTCAGCAAATGTGGTTGTGTTTATAGCTTTGATTGTTCGACGTGACGGGGACGTTGTCGAGCGCATCGATCCGGCACCGCACGAGGCAGCGCGAGACCCTCCCGACAGCGTCACGCAGGAGTTGGATTAAATCCTTCGTCGCAAAATATACATGGAGCTTCCGCAAGCCGCTCCAACCGAGTGCGCCAACCATACCTCCCGCGAGCCCCTAAGACAGGGTAGGGCCTACGCGAGGCAC